TTCGCAAACACCGTGGAGGTGTTCATGTGCATGATCGTCAGCACCTTACTCAGCCAATAGTTGAACATTAGACGCGCGGGCGCGCGCGCGCGCGTGTGCGCGCATGTCGAGTGCCATGTTATGGAGTTATGCCAGCATCCTTCGAAATCCTGCCGCCCGAAATGGGCGGGCATGTACGGCGCCCTTTAAAGTCAGCTGAAAGAGCTATGGGACCAGGGTCCAGGGGCATGGGGTCATGGGACCATGGACCCTGAGGCCAAGACCATGGGTCCATGGGTCCATGGGCCATGGGGTCAGGGGAGTCATGGGCGGGCCATAAAAGTCAGCTGAAAGAGCAATGGGACCATGGGGCCAGGAGCCATGGGTCTATGGGGGGCCATGGGGGTCGAGGGGCATGGGGCCAGGGGAGCCATGGGCGGGTGGGCGGAGCGGGCTTGTTCAGAGTCATGGGTAAGGCCATACGAAATCGGGGCCATGGGGGTTGGGAGCCATGGGCGGGGTGGGCATGCACTGACAGCTAGCTGGCCAGACGGGTCCATGGGGCGAGGCGGAGCGGGTGGGAAGAGCGGAGCGGAGGGGGCGGAGCACAAAGTCAGCTGAAAGAGCTAGAGCTATACGGGGCCAGAGCCATGCGTCCATGGGCCATGGGGCCAGGGAAGCCCGCGCGTGCGGGAACTGGTGCGTTTTCCGCGCGCTTGTCGAGTGCCATGTTATGGAGTTATGCCAGCGTCCTTCGAAATCCTGCCGCCCGAAACCCTTTCCGGAGCCACTGATGCTGCTGATGCTCGCCCCCCGGGTCCCCAAAGAAAAAACGATGCCTCGATGATGCGCACCCTGGCCCCCCGCCCGGCCGCGCATCATGAGCATCAGCGGCTCCGGCCTCCAGGCACGCATGGCTTATAGGGGCATATGCCGGCCTCAAAACGGAAATGTCCGTAACAGCACGAAAACCACGGTATTTACAGCGATTTCTGTGTTTTCCAAGCTCTCAGCCGCATCCGAAACCCAAAACCCAACCCGCTGATGCTCATGATGCGCGCTCTTGTGGGGGTCCTTGGGGTGGCCAATGCCACCCAAAAAACATCAACAACGCGTATTTGGCCAAAGTTGAAAAAGAGAGTCGATGATGCTCTCCGGGGTCGTTTTTGGGACCCCCCATGGGGCACCCAAAAAATGCGTCCAGGAGCCCAAATTCGGTGGGAAATAGCGCGTTTTTCGCGATAAAAATTGTACCTGAAACATGATGCCCTTCGGGAGCCGCATTTGGAGCCGGATGTTGGGGAGCCAACCGGGTCAGCGGCTTAACCCCCCCCTGCTATAGCTAAAGCTAGGGCTGGCGCCTAACGGCGTCGGACCAGGGCGTGCCCGGATTTAAGATCCTCCGGCTCTAGCCGCCGACCCCGCTGGAGCATAGTTGAAAGGCTTAAAAGGGCTCGTCAGCTCAAAGGATGCCAAAAGTTGATTTGCTTGAGCCTCTGTGAAACGTTGGGGGGGGGGAGGGGGTAGCACCAATTCAAGCCCAACAAGAGGGGGGGCGGGTGGGGTAGGGGGGGTTAAGGGGGGGGGTCCCCATCACTTAGCCCAGCAACCGGGGTGGGGGGTAGGGGGGGGGGTGGGGGGGTAGGTGGGGTAGGTGGTGGGGGGGGGGTAGGGGGGTTTTTTCCCAAAGGACCCCTATGTCCTGTGCGAAACCGCCTATGGTCCGTGAGTTTATGCGGTGTGGGTGGCCTGGCCCTCCATGGAAAAGCTGCCCGGGTACCCCCCCCCTACCCCCCCCCCCCCGCGTTTTGGGGGAAAGAGGGAGGTTTTCACCTCCTTTTCCCGTCCAACACGCCGCCAGGGTCGGCTTTCCACATGTACATATGATGCCTGGAAGCATGATCATTCAGACAAAGCCAGGCAATTCGCAGGCAGAGTGCCACTACATGGCATCCTATGGCTCAGCCACACGAACGACAGAATGCTCCCCATCATGTTTTTGTTGCTTGAGACATCGTTCTATCCCTGCCTAGTATATCATCAAATGCTCGGTTGTGTTTTACCGATGTTTTGCATGCTTCCCCGTGGCGCTCTCTATACTTCGCGCTTGTGTACCTTAGTTTCTCTTGCTCCTCCTCTTCGAACCTGCATGAACGAGCACGTGGCAGCTCAGCAAGCGAACCAGGTCTGGAGGCACAAGCTTTGATCTCTTAATGTTGTTTCTTGCATCTGTTGCGCGATGATGAGTCTACGGCTCTTGCCATCCTATTGTTCCCTTATGGTCCCGTTATATTTATACTATAATATTATAATACCCCCCCCCAAAAAAAAAATCTAATTATTCAGGCCCCTATATTATTCAGCAAGCGGCCCTGCAAGGTTCTTTGGCTTGCCGCCACCGCCATGAGCGTGTTCTTGCGCTTGAATGAGCACTGCCGCAGATTTTCCTGCGATGTGGAGATGTTTGCGGCAGCTATGGCTCCACATGTTTGAGTTCTTGGCGTGGTGAATCCTTTCACTTGAGCACTCGGGGGTGAGGGGTGGGTGGGGGCGTGTTGTTTCAGCGTAGGGCGTAGGGCCCTTTTTTTCTGAGGACCCCTATGACGTCAATCTTGTCATTGAGTGGACCAAGAGGTCAAACGATAGGGACATGGAGACCCCGAATGTGAAAGCCCACGTCAGCCAGGGAATGCCTCATGTTGGGAAGCCCTGCCGAGTTTGAGTTTCATTGCAAGCATTGTGCAGGGACAGCGAATGTAAAATCAAATCAACAAAGAGTATGTCAGCGAGCGCCTCGCGGCTACCAACTTTTTCCCCCAAGCTTCGTGAATGCACAGACTCGTCGGCTTTGGATGCTCAGCCAGAGATGGGACAGCAAATTGCAACCACCAAACTCACTGTAAAAGCCTAAACCCTAAAACCTAAACCCACTTGCAGAGATTCCTTTGGCGCCCTTCCGCTCAGGTAGCCATCTTCGCTATCTTAGGCTTCTGCATACCGCATGCTGACCTATACGAGCATAGCCCTTCGGCAGCATGACTCTGCAGGGGCAGTAAAGAGGTTGGGCCATGTGTTCAAACCAGAGGATCCGTTTAGAGTACTGTGGAATGTAGGTGTGGGGCAAGAGTTTCAAGCCAAGAAGTGCATGGCGCGGGCTGGGAATGCTGGAAGATCCAGGTTGCACTGCCTTTTGCGCGCGGATTGCCCTTAACCCAACAACCCTCAACCTGGACAAGCAGAAACATCCCGCGACCCCGTGGTATGACATTTCGCCGATGACTTAGATACAGCTGAGGACTGATGTCGAGTAGGATGGAAAAAGTTTGGTACTGGCATGTGTATGAGATAGTTAACGGTTAAACGATGAAAATCCGCTTCATGCGGCGAGGGTCTGACAAGGTGTGGATGCTGGAACTCTTCGCACGAGAAGATGATTCGGGGGGGATAAGGTTTCGACCACGGGAAAGAATGTTTTTTTGAGGCAAGGACCAAGTTAGATGTACGCAAGATAAATTGCATTCGACTTGATAATATGCAAATTGAGAAGCAGCCTGTTGTGTTAAACAGTGACGAATGCTTTTGTGTCAGACAGGTGGGTGGGAGGGTGCGAGGTGCCAAATAATGGAACTGAGGCCTCATTTGACATTTGATGACTTGAAACCCAGCCGTAAGATTTGGGTTTAAGGCTTAGGGCCTTAGGGTTTAGGGTGTAGCGTTTAGGGTAGACTCGGTTCTTGGCTGGGCGACAGCTAGGGCGGAGCTGTTTGATGAACAAGGTGTTGCTCAATAGGATCAGGTGACAGATGTGAATCGTCCGCCATTGCCAAGAGACTGTTCCTTTTTGAGGGCGGGCTCGGAAGGATATTGGGGACTGCTAAGGTTCGTTGACCTGAATGCAGGTGATACTCCTGCTTTCATGGGGTCGGGCTTCACGAATCTGAACAAGCACGGAGCACTACATGTAGCTAAAGGTCCTTCAGAGGCACGCTGGGTATGCTTCATGCAACAAGTCGGGCCCACTGTGCCGCCACATGCAGCTTCATTCGTTTGAAAAGGCACCGGCTCCGAAACAGCTCAAGCAAGTGTATCTGCGAGGAGGAAGCTGGGAGAGAAAACAAACTGCACACCCAAAGCAAACGGAAACAAATCCTAGAGGAGTTCTCCATTTGAGTCTAGCTCAGCCTAGTCCCCAAAATCATGAGCCCGAGTTTGACTGATGATCTGCTTGAAGATTCTTACATCACGAAGAGCAGAATTTAGGCGACGGCAAGTCATCATTGAATGGTAAGACTTGAAGCGCTAAACCCTATAAAGCCTGCATCACAAAACCAAAGTCCCTCCACAACCTAGGTTTCGATGTGCATGCTCCCTGGCCTGAAAGGGTGGGTCTTTGGGGTATAGCGTGTTGGGTTGTCAGACCCTGAACCCTAGACCTTAAGCCCCTTTTGGACCTTGACTCTGTTTGTTTTGCGCGCTTGTGCTGCCTGTTCCTTGTTTCCTTGTCTCCCCGGCCGGGAGCGACTGGACATGGCTCTGCTACAGATCTGCTGTAGCAGATGGTGACAGTTCGGAGTGCTAGATTGGGGAGCGGCTTCCGGCTCCAGTTCCGCACGCAGCGTGCGTAGGCTGAGGGTGGTTTAGAGACCCAAGACCGAGGAGATCATGGCAGCGACGTTCGAACCGGTCGCTCTGGCACTATCAGCGTCAGCACTGCCATTGCGGTGCTCCAGGCCAAGCCCCACTCCGGGAAACCAGGGGCTCAAACTTCTTTAAGGTTTAGGGTTTAGGGTAGCTTGACGATGGGGCTTGGCTTTGCATCAGTCAGCTGAGAGTCAGCTGACAGTCAACTGACAGTCAGCTGACAGTCAGCTGACAGCTGCAAAGGCTAAAGGCTGGGTGTTCTGCTTTGGTTGTTTGGACCCTGAAAAGAGAGGACATTGCTGTCGGAGGTCTGGATTTTCGGATGGAAAACCTGCCATCTGTCGAATGTTCAGAGGTGAGGCAGGCACTCGGTTTTCTTGGTTGCGCGGCGCTTATGGGTTTATCGGTCTTGGGGTATAGTATTAAAACCCTGAACCCGGTCGACGCCCTAAACCCTGAACCCTACCCAGACAGCCGCTTCGCAGTCGTGCGCACGGAAAGAACATCGAATCCATTTTGAAGCAGTAGCTGTGCAGTACAGGGTGAGGGTTTAGAGTTTGCGGTTGTAGGGGCTTATTGAATCGGAATGTTCTTCAAGGGCAATATACACAAAATGCATAGCCATTGACCGTAAGGGGATATTGGGCCATGCTCGAGGCGCGATACTTCGTGCCTTAAGCAGGTTCCTCCTTGTCGTGTTCTCATACAGCGCGTCCTTCCTGATCCGGTATATCCTGACCAAGCAAGCTGGCTTCAAGGGCCTGGCTTCAGGGCCCTGTGGGTCAGGCTTGTAGGCTCACAGCTTTATTTTGCCCCAAAACCCTGGCCGCTTGGCCGCCCGAGCCTGTAGTCTCGCTAAGACCTATTTGGCATGATAGTTGGTATTACCCCCTTACGCCACCAGCCCAACCTTGCTCTCACCCGGGCAGACCCTAAACTTCCCTATACCTTGAACCTGAAACCCTAAACCCCTAAGCCCCTCAACCCCAAGCCCTAAGCGTAGCCAGGAGACCCCGAAGCCCCCCGGTAGGACACACACGGGAGAGGGTGAATCTACATCTTGAAGGTGTTCGGTGTTTACGGTTTAGGGTTTGGCATCCAGTTCGAACCCTTCTGTCACCCTAAACCCTAAACCCTAAACCCTAAACCCTAAACCCTAAACCCTAAACCCTAAACCCTAAACCCTAAACCCTAAACCCTAAACCCTAAACCCTAAACCCTAAACTCAGATTCATGGGAAGAGCTTGGGGATGGGCTCCCAAGGTAAAGAGCTGGGCTGATTTCAGAGTTTGGGGCTGTATCTGTGGGGCTTCGAAACGCTTATCACAACCTCCGCGGGTAGGAGGGCCATTGGGGTTGAGGGTTTTTACCTTAACCCTAAACCCTAAACCCTGAACCCTAAACGTTTTAGGGTCGTACTGGTTTCGGGCGACCTCGGGGCCTAAACTTCTACCTCCCTGAATCCCCGACGCCTTCTCACCTCTCTGAATTGATTCACATGGGGGTTTACGAAAGTTGGGGTACCTTACTCGGATCCTTTTTTTAGGGAATCCTACCATTTGGGGGTCTATATTAGGCGTCCCCTATTGTCGTAAACCCCCCACATCTGAAGGAATGCCGCTTACTTGGCAGATGCCGCCTTGATATTCGTGATCCCCTTGTTTGCATCACAGCTGAAACTGGGGTTTAGGGTTTGGGGTTTAGGGTTTAGGGTTTAGGTTTTAGGGGTTTTTTTCTCATTCAGACAGCCACCGGGGCTAGCTTTCTGGCCGGGACGGCTTTGCATAGCAAGCTCGAGGCACTATTGAAATAGAGTTGGGCCTGCAAAGGTGGAGGCCGAGCCATTCTTTAGGGTTTAGGGTTTAGGGTTTAGCATTGGACCAACTGCAAATGTCTTGAGATACGACAGATTGTCTGCTAGGAGTCTCGGGCTCGTTGATTACGAAATGGTGTTGGCATTGCGGTGTTTCAGAACAATCCTGAAATGTTGGATGCTGATTAGCTTCCCCTCAAAAAGTAGGTGTCCCGGAATCGTGCCCGGGGGATCTTTGAAGGTTATGGCGGGAGTTGTGTATCAAGGGGTTCGGTTGTTATCAGCTCATGCGTCTTAACTTGGTGAAGCTTTAGCAAAGGCCAGCTCAGTTTCAGCAGCATTCACCCTGCAATTCCAGAATGCTTACAGCAAACTCAGAATGGTCGGAGTTGAAAAGATGTTGCAAAGTAGCCAGGGGTGGATGGCCACGGAGCTTACCCAACAGACGGAGTGCGACAGTCTCTGCGGCTTTGAATACTGTCATCAGCAGCAGCTTGAGCTTCCGAGTTCATCATCGAAGCTGGGAAGCCGTTCTTGTAGCATCCACACCCCGGGGTTCAGGGTTTAGGGTATAGGCTTTAGGTTTCAGGGTTTAGTGTTTACAGTTCAGGGTTGAGGGTTTAGCTTTCATAGGGCTTATGGCAGCCGACAATCTCAACGGCCGCGGAGGCATGCCTGTGCCTGATGCAGCGTGTGGCCTAGCTGCAGAGCAGATTGGAGTGCCCACTGTTAAGGTTTTGGGCTTGGGGTTTAGGGTTCAGAGGGTTAGGGTTTTTGAGGGGGGTGGAGGGGTGGGTCTACAGGATTGGGTTTTAGGGTTCAGGCCTCGGGGCAGGTTGTGGGTATCGGGGCCAAACCATGAATTTAGTTCCTCCGCCCCCCCCCCCCCCCCCCAAATTTTAGTTACACGGAACTAAGTCTTCGAATTTTGACGGGGAGGCTGTTTGCAGGATGGGGGTGCGGTTGGGCCTTAAAGAGCTCAAGCCCCTTCTTGACCCCGCGCGGAAGGATCGGCTCCTGCTGGAGGGCGTGGCGGCAGAGAAGCAGTTGGAGGCAGTTCGCGAGCGGTGGTGGTGAACCAATCATTCGGGGTTCATCAAGTTTCTAAGGGGCTCTCTTCTAGAACAGGGACCCCAAAGGGACCATAAGATAGAGAACCTTGTGGCGACATGTCAACAAGTCATTGTATCCGCTGCTCGTGCCTGGCCCATAGGAGCCAGGTTTGCTAGGGAGTTTGGAGTCCCCCCCACAGGGCGTGTTTTTAAGTGTGCAAAGCAGGATGCCCCGGTGGGTCAGGCCGACGAGCCAGTTAATGGTTGGGGTATCCGCGTTTGTTTGTTTGTTTTTGTTTTTGTTTTTTTTGAAGTTTGAGGGTGGGCTTCCGAGGTTTCGGGACCAGGGCATGTGTTTTTGTTTGTGTTCCTTTTCTTGGAAGGCATTGAAGGTTGAGGGTTCAGTGTGACGTTCAGGGCTCCACACTCCACAGTTAGGATCCCTTACATCCCCTGCCCTTGACTATACGAGCCCATACACATACAGGTATAGATACAAAACACATGAATAATCAGTTATGTAGACTGTAGACATGTACGTATACATATCTTGCAGACATGCAAAAAGGGGGATCTCAAGAAGGGGCTCCAAACTAAACCCCAAACCCCAAACCCCAAACCCCAAACCCCAAACCCCAAACCCCAAACCCCAAACCCCAAACCCCAAACCCCAAACCCCAAACCCCAAATCCTAAACCCTAAACCCTAAACCCTAAACCCTAGCAGAGTTGCTCAGAGGAGTGCATGGCCAAGATGGTCGCGCAAGAAGAGGAGGCCACGACTCAGCAGGTCGCAGCGCCCCTCGGCTTCGGGCAAGGCCACCGGATACAAATAAACACAGAGGTTTAGGGTTCAGGGGGTTCAGGGGGTTCAGGGGGTTCAGGGGGTTCAGGGGGTTCAGGGGGTTCAGGGGGTTCAGGGGGTCCAGGGGGTCCAGGGGGTCAGGGGTTTCAGGGCTTAGGGTTAGGGTCAATACCCTTCAGTTAAGGACAAAAGGATATTATAATTATGATAACGAACCCGAAGATATATAAGGTAGTTTTTTTTAAATAAGCGGTACGGAGCTCTTTGGGTACTTCAGTCAGGATTGCGTTCGTACGGTTTCAGGGCTGTAGGGTTTAGCAGGAGCTTAAGTAGGGCGTGTATAGGGTTGATTGATTCAGGATGTTGCTAGGGTTCTGGGTTCAATTACCTTCTATGGTTTATGGCCTTCAGCAAGGTCTGGGGTTAGTGTTCAATTCGGGTGTATATGCATGTATATAATATATGTATATATATATATATATATGAGGTATATATATATATATATATGTGTGTGGACTATCATGAAAGATTATGATGTTATATGAATGTGGGTGCATTTCTTTCAGCTGGGAGCGGGGTCCCTGTGCTGGACCCTGCGACCTTTTGATGCTCTTGGAATTTGTTTTGGGGGGGGCTTCTTCGAGCCCCACCGTCATTGTATGTATATGTATATGTATATGTATATGTATATGTATATGTATATGTATATGTATATGTATATGTATATGTATATGTCTATGTATATGTATATGTATATATATACATATATATCACCTTTTTATGTATGTACATATATGACATAATATGTGTATGTATTTATATATATATATACACACATAAAGTGCCACAAGCTCCGCACAGCCTGGTGGGCTTTGAAAGTTACTTTCCACGACCGTCTGCTGTTAGTTCTCCCTCCCAGCACACACCGCGGGCCTTGAAGCGCCTTCCCGCCCAAAGAGTTGCAACAGAGTATGTGCTGAAACACATTCACCAGCCACGATGATGTCGATGTCACGAAGTTTTGCTGGATCACGGTAGAACTAAGCCCAAAGCAGAGCCCAGAAAAGAGAAGCCAGCTGGCCCAGGGCAGCTATGAGGTCGCTGCTGAGGCCCGCGGACACGCCTGAGAATTCAGTTTAGGGGCAGACGTGTTGAAGTAGAACCACCATGCAAGGTTTGTTCATCTGCTACGTGTCTTCCCGAATGTGCACGGTACACGCAAGCCCGACTGTTCAGAAGAGCGCCTTCTGGGGAAACAGGGCGGAACCTTGAATACAGCAGGAACATTCTTCACACTCGCTGAATACGCAGAGCAAGGAGCGGTCCAGCATCGAAAGTTGTGGCGTTCTTGGAGACCGAAGGAAGTTCACTTTCAGGGTTAATGACCGAGGCCCAAACACCTGCTGTATGTTGGATGATCCGGTCCTTTTCCGACAGGCAGCACACCGACGTGGTTGTGACCCTCACAGACAGGCCCGCTGAAATGGGCATTCAGCTGAGCTGGTGGCCTTTTGGCCTGTGAAGTGTCGAGGGGATCCGAAGCCTCAATTTGGCCGCCAAGCCCTGGACCTGTAGATTCACTGTAGATGCCGAACCCAAGGCTCCTAAATTCCTAAACCCTAGATGGCCTTGTGGGGGCCGCAGGGCCCGCAGCCTTCGACCCCAACAACCCTGAGCCAGACTAAGCCGTACACACCCCTCTTGCTTAGGAGTCTCAGACCCCCTGGGATGTGAAGCTGCCAGGCTGACGATAGCTCAGTCGTCCCATTCGTTGGATGCGTTCTTTGGGCAGGCTGGGATCGGAATGGGTGGGAGGCGAATTTTGGGTTTGGGGTTTAGGGTTTAGGGTGTAGGGTTTAGGGTTTAGGGTTCAGGGTTTCTTTTTCCCATCGTCGTTCGGGGTGAAGGACCTCAGCTTGCAAGGGAGCTTCATGTGGAAGGCGAGAAACAGGCAGGCCGTGTACTTGGCAGGGATCGGATTCAGGCTTTTAAGATCAGTAAGAGGTGGGCCTGTACCCACTTGTTGCATGAGAAAACTTGCAACAAAGGGCTGCCCTGGACTTGATTTTGCCTAAAGGTACACATCGACGTTGCACTGTTCTGTGCGCCCCTTGAGACATCTCAAGTTTGCAAGTCCTAAGCTCGAGCAATCAGCGCCCCTAAACCCTCAACCCTCAACCCTAAACCCTAAACCCCTATGAATACAGCGTAGAATCCCCCCAAACTTGAGCCCTGAACTTGGGCCAGGAGATGCGGGGGCGCCCGTGGCTCTGGCTCTGAAGCGGAGTAGGATGTAATATTTGGGGTGCAAGGCCGTTAGGGCTGAGGGCTTAGGATGGGCCAGGGTTTTTTGTTGTTAAAAGGTGGTTTAGGGTTTAGGGTTTAGGGTTTAGGGTTTAGGGTTTAGGGTTTAGGGTTGAGGGTTTTTTAAAAGGTGTGGCTCGTATCCCTTCCCCGCCCCCCCCCCCCCCCCCCCCCTGGTCCCGTGGTCCTCTGGATGATTCCCTTGGTCCCGTGATCCCGTGGCGCTTTCCTCTTGGTCCCCTTGGTCCCGTGGTCCTCTGGTCTCCCTGGTCCCGTGGTCCCCTTGGTCCGTGGTCCTCTGAAGCCTTGCAAAGCTTGTTCAAAGCATATACATGAATTCATCCAAACCGCTTCAAAGCCCCAACCTCGTGCTTATTAGGCCGTGGTGCCTGCGTCAAAGCATATGATTCCCTTCCAAGCTATCGTGCGGGAATTGTGTTTGCAAATGGTCGTTTTTCAGCCGTGCAAGCTTGCCTCAACACACCACATGAATCCCTTACAGACCCATCATGCGAGCATTCTGTTTGCAAATGGTTGCCAACCCCAACCCCCCGCATTTGTGAGCCATGCACCATTAGAGAATCCTGTCCAAGCCCATCATTCGAGCATTGTGTTTGCAAAGGGGGGGACTGCGCCCCCCCCCCCCCCCCCCCCCCTCCCCGCTTTTTTAGGCCGTGCAAGCTTGCGTCAAAGCATATGATTCCCTTCCGTTTGTTTGTCTCACGCTGGCATTTACAGCATGTACAGTGTGTTTGCAGAGCAGTTCTTTCTTTGCCTCTGCAAAGTTAGAAATGCTGTTATTTGCAGTATTTGCAGCCTCTGAAAACGCAGAAATGTGCAGAACCCCCCTGCTTTTTTAGGCCGAGCGAGCATGCGTCCAAGCCTATGATTCCCTTCCGTTTGTGTTGTCTCATGCTTGCATTTACAGCATTTGCGGCTTCTGAAAATTCAAAAATGCCACTCTTTACAGTATTTGCAGCACCTCAAACTCAGAAATGCTGCAACGTACAGTATGTTTACAGTACTTGGCAGCCTCTGCAAAGTCAAAAATGCTGCTATTTACAGTATTTGCAGATTCTAAAATCGCAGAAATGCTGCTGTTCACAATATTTGCAGCTTCGGAAAATGCAGAAATACTGTTATTTACAGTATTTGAAGCCTCTGACAACGCAGAAATGCTGCTATTTACGGTATCTGCAGCCTCCGACAATGCAGAAATGAAATGCAAAAATGCTGCTATTTGCAGTATTTGCAGCTTCTGAAAACACAGAAATGCTGCGATTTAAAGTACACCTTTAAAAAAAAACACGTACGAGCCACACCTGTAGAAAAAAAGGAACCCCTCCGCCGGCTTAGGATTTGGGAGCTTAGGAGGCGTTTAGTGCCCAGAGTGTGCAAGGACACTTGAGGTTGCAGGATGTGCTCTGAGGGAATGGCATGCGCCTGGCTAGCACTTGACCGACAGGCACTTTTTTCGGCTCTTGTGAGGGTCGTGTCTGAGTAGCCCACCGGCAAAGCCTACAGGAACAGCCAGGAACCTAAGTAGTTTCGGCTCCCAGGCTCTTGTCGGTGATCCCTTCCTACGAGCATCAGCAGATCGTGGACGCTATTCAGGAGGCCAGTGCCATGTGTCGTGCCTGTGGGGCACCAAGTTTCTTGACTCTTGACTGCTGGAAAGGCTAGAGAAGCTGTACAGCTGGATGTCGGAAGGAGACTTCAGAGTCTGTAGGGCTTTTCCTGGCGGTTCACAGATGTTCACCGCCATATGCGGGTCTCTGGTGGATGCGTGTTGCGCACCTTGCACGACACATGCGCGCAAGACGAGGGGCAGCTCTGACCAAACTGGCACACAGGCGCATTCACGCTTGTGTTTGCCAGGCGTTCTGAATCCCAGCGTGTAAGGACGCGATGATCGGCTTGTATTCTCGTTTGGAGGGTACAGGAGAGTTCAGGTTCTGTACCCTTGCCTTCCAGGGGGATTATTCACTCAAGGTGTTCTTGACGATTGCATCCATGCTACTAGGCCTTGTACAGCACACACTGCAAAGGGCTTTTCTAAGGAATCAGGGATCATAGGGTTACTTGCCAAAAGTTGGAACCTGAACGGTTTGTACAGGGCTTGGAATTGACAGGTCGTTTCGCATCGTCGTCCTGCGGCAGTGCTTGGCTGCAGTGAGAAACCAAACGTGAACGGATTGTGCGATTGTCAGGTTTGTAGCAGGATATTATTACCGTGCGAAATTTTCGCGAGTACCACAGAAACGCAGTATTCCGCTTGCGTTCTTATCCTGCAGTTCAATGTGTTGTGGGCAGGCGCAGCCCTGAATTCAACCTCAGAACCTTCGGGCTCTAGACTTTTGACTTTAAGATCCCCTGGCACGCACCTAGAACTGGCTGAACTCTACATGACATGTTGAAGACATCTCTCTCCTCACGTGCCCAAAGCGAGATTCAGCACCGAGCAAGTTAGAGATGCGGAGAAACTGCCCAGGCAACAGCAACCTTACCTCTTGGCCCAGCACGTTTGGTTATCGCATCCTGTCTCAAACTTGTGTGTGTGTGTGTGTGCGCATGCGTGTATGTATGGTAACTGCACAGCTATCGTACAGCAGTAGGAAGTGCTGTGATGTTGTGAGGAAGGAGCCACCACAAACCTAACCGTCCTGAGAAGTGATAGGCGATAAGGGATGGGCTTCTCAGTTCGCTTTCCAACGTAGGCGGCACCGGATGTTACAAGCAAAATGTCACAAGACCAGGACTCGGTCCCAGTTTATGGTCAGACGTAACAAGCGATGTAGCCATTGCTCGTGCAAATTCTTCTGACTGTAGTGATGGTCGTTCCGCTGATTTTTTATGGGGTCTCGATTCTGATAAGGTACGTGGCCTATTCCTCAATTAAAGGCGAACATAAGGTACATGGCCCAACTCTGTTAGCCTTCATATAAGGGCGAACATAAGGTACATGACCCCCTCCCTCCTTCACCCTTCAATTACGGGCGAACATAAGCTACATGCCCTCTTTTGGTGTCCCTCAATTAACACCCTGGAGTTCCACTGTGCAGGAATCGACGTTTTACAAACAGCTTCTTTCTAGATGGCAGCATCTGCTGGAATGTCTAGCTGGCAAAATGTCAGACTCGCTCGAACCCCTACAGCCCATATGCTTGCAGAGCATTGCGTCCAAGCCTTTTGGCACCAACAGATATCTTGCATCAAGGTCGTCACTCAAATCTTCTGCATTCCCCCAATTCAACTCCGCAGTCCTTTGCCGCAGCGAGCTTTGTTCCCCGATTGTGCCAGGAGTGTGCAGGTGTCTTGGAGGCAATATGCTGGCCACAGACGTGCGCTCTGAACGTCCTGACATTGGAGCTTGCATCCACACGCTGACTTCCGGGGTTGCTTGTTGCACAAGAATTCGATGTTGCTTGTGGAATGTAAGACATGTCGCACGGCTTTCCCCAAACTGCCAGAGCATGCAAAAGGACGTGAGAAGCCGCTGCACTTCTTCGTGGCAATAACACTTCAGGACAGTCATTCCGGCAAGTGACATGTGCTTTGAAATCGTATACGTTCTACAATCTCCACGAAGACGATACTCCCAACACAAGCGCCTTCGTAGCCCCTAATGTCGACATGTTGTGCCCAACTCAGTTTTTTCATGAACAGCTTAGATTTCATGCATCATGCTCGATATATCTATATCGATATCTATATCTATATCTACATCTATATCTACATCTACATCTATATCTATCTATCTACATATATATATATATATCGTACATACCATGCGTGACTTACTACACATGTAGGACCGCAGCTCGCGCGAAGCTGTCCTGGATGCCGCCGTCGAGGCCGGCAAAAGAAAAGCGAGCTTGAGTTTTCAGATTCCGAGTTTCATGTTTCGGTTACTGAGGGGAAGTTTCAAGGTACCGCTGGATTGAGAGTTTAGCTGTTCAATCCTTGGGGGGTCGATGGGCTGTCGGTCGGAGACGGAGGACTTGAGGCTTTTCTAGGATCTTGTAGAGGTCGGCCGGCAATACGTGGCAGTGACATGGTGTCGCTGTGCTACGTAGAAGATGTCGTTCTGCTGTCCCGTTGTGGTGCTGCCCCCTCAGCCCTAAATCCGAAGATCCTCGGCCCGAGCCCTACTAGGATCTGGAGCACCTGTGCACGAATGCTCTTGGATCTGGCCTTCCCATACGCATGAGCTGACATGGACATGCGCATCGAGCGGAGCATCCACCCTCTCCACAACAGCACGGCTAGGAAGCATAAACCCCGAACACTAACCCTAAACCCTAGCGTCAAGTCCCGCGACACCCCGAAAACCATGCCCAGGTACTCAACATGACCTTATCCACCCCGAATCCCTCATAAATCTTTCCTTTGAAGTCAGAGATACGTCCTTAGATAGCTGCGCCGCTGCGAGACCTTAGACCTTGAAATCTGAAGGACATGCAAAAGCGCAAGGAAGAAGGTTGAAAATGTTGAGGCTGACATTCAAGAACTACCTCCCCCTCCCACTCTGTCAATAGATTGGAAGGCCACACGTCGTAAACAACAGGATGGTAGCTTGTCCACCGCTCAAGGGTTTAGGGTCCACAGTCTAGGGAGTCTAGGGTTTAGGGTTTAGGGTTTAGGGCCGTGGGTCTAAGGTATAGATTGCGCTGAGAAGCCTTGTGTCGAGATCCAGCCCTGTACAAACATTACAAAACCAGAAGCCCAAGCTGCTCTCGAGGAGGACAACAAGAAGTTCACGCAAGCCTCGACTGACCCAAAGGACTGACCCAGGGTCCATTCCGAAAGAGTTCGTCATGAGTACATCAAAAACAATAATCGTGATTGGGATCGAGAAAGGGAGCGAGAGCGGGATGCAGACCGTGATAGAGATCGTGACAGGGACCGTGATAGGTACAAGGAGGATGGCCGGTACAAGGATTGGAGCAACGATCGGGCCAATGTAGGGGATGGCCGGAACTTCGACTGCTGGAGCGCTGCAACGAGACGACCGTTACGATGATCGTGACCGACGGTCCGAAAGCTCAGACGACAGACATGCTGCTGACATGCCCAAGTACTTGTGAAAGGAGCCTACAACCAACCTCAATCGACACATGTGGGCTGTAGTGCTCCTGAAGACGCTTCGCTGCTTCGTGGCGTTTGTCACCTCTGGCGCCGACGACTCCAAGCATGCCACTGCTGCTATCTATGACCCCTCATACTAACACTCCTTAATCGGGATTATCCTAGGGGTACGATAATCCCTGTTAAGGACGGCTAGTATAAGAGGGAACATCCCAAGTAAGAATCGTGACGGCCAATGCAACTGCTGTCCGAGATGGCTTCTGTCCAGCAGTTCGAGCATACGGAGCTTCACGAACATTCGATCCGGACATGAGACGTGATGCTGACACACAAACCATGAAGTTCTTCTGTCACAGAGCCTTCAGATTGCCCGCTCTGTTTTGGAGTGCAGTATACGTAGGCTGAGGTACAAGTTAATCTGCAAGTTGCCAAGGCAGAGATACACGCTATTTGCATTTCTGTCAGCCAAATAGGGGAACACCCCAGATTCACCCTGTACTCTGGCACTCTTGATTCTCAGGAGCCATATCTTTGGTGTTTGGAAGGCCATGGCCACTCGTTGATGGCGATGATGCCTGCAGCCGCCAAGGCTCGGGGTCCGGTCGCCCAAACAAGCCTTGGGGTCAGGTGGGTTTCGGGTCTGTAGGGTTTTGGGTTCAGGGTAAGACCTCCCTCATTCCTGTGCTTAGCACAGAGCCCCAAGAATTTCCAGTGGGACCCTCGTAGAATTCCTCTATCGTTGCACGGCCATAAGCTACGCAAAATACCATCTCTCTTTGAATAGGCTCCTACATGAGGCCATCGGGCTAAAGAAACTTGTAGACCCCACAACCTCGCAGACCAAATGCCCCCAAAACAACGACTTCGAAAGCCGCAGCCCTGAGCCTAAACCATATAGACCCCAAAACCGTATATAACCCTGAGCCCTATATAGCCCTAAACCCTATAGGCCCTAAAGCTCTCAACCTTCAATCTTCCCCAGGCCCAAGGAGCCATGTTCACAGACCCGCTGGTCAACTCGAAGTGCCCTTCCTCCGGATCCTGCAACTCTCCCCGGAGCTCCCAGCAGAGTCGGAAGGACAAGGACCAGCAAGCAATCTTTTCAACCCAAATAATAATCAGAACAACAATAATAAGAAGAATAATAATAATAAAGGCCTCCCCAAAACCCCCCAAAAATACCCCCCCCCCCTCTTCTGGGGATCCGAAACTGTGGTTTTTCGAAGCACCTCTCATGCTCCGGAGTTTCCATTCAGAAGCGGGTTCTACGCCGATGTCTTCGGATGTGCCTTACCTCCTTTCAGGCAAGTAAGGATGACACTCCAGGCCAGCCTAATAGACCTGAGCGGTGTGCTGTTGAAAACGGAGCGGCCCCTTCAGTCGCCAAGGCAGGCAGTGCTTTGATCACTGTCGCATCAAACCTCAGTCCGCGAGGAGTTTGCCGAACTCCTGCGCAGAAGTATGACACCCTTCTCCCAAAACCCCCTAGCTCTGACTCTCCAAGCCCTTAAAACCCCAAAACTGCCGGGCTGACGGATGCTACGTTGCCCTGGAGGACACGTGGAAGCATGCAGACGAGCTCTTGTCGATCTCCTTGACAAACACTGCAGCTTGGCGTTTCATTTCAGCACTTCAGGGTGTTTTGCCTGCAAGCTAGATGCATTTAGGGGTTGGAACAATTACTAGTTACTCGTAGCATTCCCTCATGGTCTCTTTATAAGTATACATGTAAGATCCCGCCAAAAACCCTATTCTAATTATTAAGGCCCCTACAGTAGCAAAAAGAGCTGCAATCTGCGGCAAGGACCCACTGTCGTCCTCCCTCCAATCCGCCGAGAAGAAGCACGAGAAGAGAGAAGATAAGGACTGGCCTTGAGCGAACGCTCCACCCATGAAGCTCTGAACCCTTGGGCCTGCAAGGGTTAGGATATTTAGCGTCCTGCATGACATCGTTTAACACGGGCCTATATATATATAATATAATATAAATAAATATAAATATAAATAAATATATATATATATATATATATGCACCTGCCTTTCGGGAGACCGATGTTTATTACTTCGCAGGAGATTCAGGTCAGCATGGAGACTGTGTCATTGGGTATCACTCAAAGCGCTTTGGCCGGTCTGCAGAGCACTGCGTGTTTGTCGCCGGCACACAGAACTCTGAAGATAGGTTCTTTCGCAAGCCCCTGACTCAAAGCGAAACTCGAAAAAACCCTAAAGCTGGACATAAGAATGAGTCACCGTGCTTATGGCCTCCTTGTAAACTTTGCATCCACGAGGAGTCTCCAGCTAGACACTAAGGCACCTGGGCCCTGAACCCCAAGCTCACCCGCAATGCACGCTGATTGCCGAAGCCACCCACCCCCCGAAACCGAAGCACCCCCTCGAATAAGTTCGGGCTTTGGGCGCGTAGGCCGGTAAAGGGCAGCATCCAATCACACAGATCGCATGGGAATCGAATGGGGGTTTGCGAAAAAAAGGAACACCCCCAAATAGCCTCCCCCCCCCCGCCACTCATATTGAAGGGGACCCACATCGGCAAAGCCGGATCCACGAAAACTGAACCTTCCCAAGCCCTAAACTCTAGCCCGAAGACAAGTCCAAGGAAGCCACAGGGCCTCAACTCGATCCCAAGGAATCATCGAAGAAGTCATGGAAACCCAACTTTCGGAAGCCCACTCCGTGGGAAGTTGCAGAGGTTGAGTTGTGAGACGTGGACGGTTTAGCTCAAACCCCCTTGGCTTGGCTTGTCAAGGCTTCTGCGCATGATGTGGTGTGTTCGAGTCGGTTATCTTCTGCACTGCATGGATGCAAGTGAGAGATCCCAGCCTCATCCTAGCCTATCTCCCCCTTCCACACAAGACAGCTCAGTGCTTTGTGTCAAACGCACACCCGTGGAGACGTAACGCCTTGAGCCTTCCGAGCTAAGGAAAAGTGCAAAGTGTAAAGAGTCTTATCAATATGATGGACCCTCACTAGGACTGGAGGCCATGTCCAGCTCGGGCTCCCTAAGCACCAAGGTGTCCAGACAGAGTTCACCTGGGACCAAGATGGCATGACATGCTGCCCGGAACTGCATCTGAGCACACCTGGATCATCAGCTTGAAAGCACGTGGCGTCACATCTGCTCGGTCTGCAGTACTGCTATCTGTGATCATCCACACTTTTTTTGACATCATGTCCCTGCGACTTGTAGCTGCCATGATGAGGAGGTACGAAGCAAGCCTCTACCTCCCTGAAGCCAACGCTCAGTGGCTTTAAGCCCAGGCTACCATTGTCTGATGTCCCGGCCTCCTCGGCCGGCCATCGCCGAAGGCAGAGGCTCGTGGTTTTCCGCCTTCCTGGCGCCTCAGGGTTTAAGGTCGTTTAGGGTTTACTGCGGTTCAGGGTTTTAGGCTTTTGGGCTTGTGTGTTTGTGTGAACGCGTGCCGTCCGTGGGTGCGTGCAGGCATGCAGGCGCGCGTGCGTACATGGGTGGGTGGGTGGGTGGGTGGGTAGAAGAGAGAAAGGGCTCGACAGCCACCCAAAGAATCTTTACAAGCAGCGCATCCGTCGCAGCAAGTCCATGCTCGGTTGAACAAAATGTGCAGGCTTTATACAGATTCATACATATGGGAGATGGGTTAGCGGTGAGCTATCATAAGGCCCCAAATATTTCGGATACCAAAAAGGGGCCAAACAATTCGAGAAGTGACCACACGTCTTTCTGTGACAGGTTCTAGTTGGACAAAGCCATCGTCAGGCAGGGCTCGGGCTCACGTTGATGTTTCACAATGGAAGACAGGTCAACCCAGTTCGATGACTTGTGCCACATTGGCACGCTTTGAGATATTCATATAGTTCGTATGCAGGGATTCAATGGGTGAGTTTCAGTGAGTTTTGGTGATTTGTGTCGCAGCATTTTGCCAGCACTCGCCGGGGGTGATACGGGTCGTGGGAGGTCGTGTGTGATCCTTTGGATGTTCATAGGCAGCCCTCTACTCATGACTTCTAAAGTCGCAGGTGTTCGGGGCTGGGCGTGGTGGTTTCCTAGGACGCCGGCCGTGAAGTGAGTGAGGGCATTGGTTTGATTGATGGAGGTTGTCAACCCCAACCACTCAGTATTCGACCGAAGTGGGTCTACGCATTTAATTCTCACCACGAGTGTGTGCCCAGAGTATCCGTGTTCGGCCCGGCACGTCTACATATACAATTGCATGTACACGTAATATGCATATCTTTAACTCTCTGTCTGTCTTTCTTGAATTCTATGCAAGTTGCAGGCATGTTCGCTTTGAGTATGGTTGCTTGACAAACACCTTGCTCTGCGCCCACAGACAGGCACCCTAACTCCATGGATCGTGGCCCAGGTGGTTCCCGAAGGGTCCGCCGAAACTCTTCGCGCGTTAGCCTGCGTAATGCAGACGATGCGTGCCCTGGCTGCGACTGCCACATGAGGGGCCCAGGGCACTGTGTGGACTTGTAGGTCAGGGTTCCCTTAAAGGTACCTTGCAATCGAATTCTTAGACCACTGCCAAGTGGGCGTATGCAGGGCAATGGAGGGCTTGCGTGGGAGATGCCCAGTAGTGCAGGCCTACCCTGGACCCGTAAGCAGACTGCCATCCTGTTGCCAATTCCAGACGTTGAGGACTACAGGCCGCTGCATTCTGAAGTGCTACCGTCTGCTCAGCAGTCTTCTCACATGTGAGACATGTGAGATCGTGAGCATATTATTAGGGCCGGCTACATAAGATCGGGTTGACTGCCAACTTGTAGACTACGAAAAAAACGACCCTGTGTTTTTGAAAGGAAGCTGGCGGCAGTTTGGTCAGGATCCCAGCTGCTGCTGTCAGATGGTAGCATGCGTGGCGGATCTTTCGTTGTAAGTGTCAGTAGAGGTGTTGTACTCTTCCTGAATCGTGCCAGACATTTCTACTTCCTGCTGTGGTCATCTGTCTGGCTTCATGCGTGCACCACGCACTTTACACGCAGGATCGGGCAGGATCTTGAAACATGGGTCCCCGGTCCCCGGTGTCGGCACATTCCACTCTATGATGCACCCAAATATCCTTCCGCCTATTTTCAGGTCGGGTTCCTTGCCAAATCCTGTTCGCATGCTGTCGAGCTTCCAAAAGACAGGCTCGCTTGCCAGATGTGCCTGCTACGACATGCGCACATCCACGGAGGGTCTATAGGGTCTGGGGCTTCATAGCGATTGTGTGGTCATGTTTCTAGTTTGGAAAAATAACTCCTAAACCCTAAACCCTAAACCCTAAACCCTAAACCCCCACCTTAAGCCCTGAGCCCTAAACCCACCGGTCGGCTGTCCGGCTTTGCGCCAAGTAGGAGCCCTGACTGTGCCTGTGAATATATAGTATATATGGAGTATATATAGTATATCTAGTACATGTAGTATATCTCCTAGACAAAGTGTGTATATATATATATATATGCATATACACACATATATATATATATGTGTATATATTTATGCTTCCCCCCACATTTTGGCGACTTGCAACAGTTCCCGTAGCATGCTATATCATTTCTTCTTACGACACCGCCTGAAACACCCTGAAAAACAAAAGTGCATCAGCAAAGCATCAAAACAAAAACCTTCTAGCTTACGCACCCCTTCCACTGAAAACCGCCCTAAACCCTCTTGTTGATAAGATATATCCGCACAGTTCCCGTAGCGTGCTATATCATTTCTTCTTAAGAGACGTACAACCACCTGGGTCACTCTGAAAAACAAAAATGTAACACCGTGAGGGTTTTAACCTTATACTAGTAGGGCTAACCCCGTGAGGGTTTTAGAGAGAAAGCCTGAACGGCCCTAAACCTTTGAACCCTAGAGGATTAAGTGGTTTCCAAATCCAAGGTCTGGGCATGTATACCTTCAGCGCCTATAGGGTTAAAACCTCTGAGCCTTTTAGAGCCCTGCAGGGCTTTAGCGTTCTGATCCGAAAGGGAAATGCGAAGGTTGGAACTCCACGGGCTTAGGTTTAAATGCCTAAATCTTGAACCCTAAATCTTTAAACCTGAACCCTATGGGGTTCAAAGGTTAAGGGTTTAGGGTTAATTGCCGACTTATGTTTAAATTCCTAAACCTTAAACCTTAAACCTTTGAACCTTTGAACCTTTGAACCTTTGAACCTTTGAACCTTGAAACCTTTAAACCTTTAAACCTTTGAACCTTTGAACCTTTGAACCTTTAAACCTTTAGACCTTTAAACCTTTGAACCTTTGAACCTGCGAACCTTTGAACCTTTAAACCTTTAAACCTTTAAACCTTTAAACCTTTAAACCTTTAAACCTTTAAACCTTTAAACCTTTAATCCTTTAAACCTTTAAACCTTTAAACCTTTAAACCTTAACCCTATAGGGTTTAAAGATTAAGGGTTTGGGCTTGATTGCTCAACCCGAAAGGGTTTCGGGGCTTCTCTTTAAACCCCTAAACCCTCAACCGATAGGTCTCTAGAGAATAAGCCTTAACAAAAAAGCCAGGGAGCGCAGTGGAGCGGAGGGGGGGACAGGGGTCCTGGCTGTGTGGAGACCCTGGTACCCTCGCCGTCCCCCCGCTTCCCCCCCCCCCCTGTTTTATAAGCAACCTTGATGCTTGTAAGCAATATGTTGTGTGACAAAACTCTTCCCAACCAAGATTGAGTACGCATGTTACGTACCAACTCATGCATATTGTGAATGCGTAAGCCTGAAGCCTGTAGGTTTAGAGGTTAAGGGTTTAGGTTTAACAGCTTAATAGGGTTTCGGCTTGAGAGCACAAGGCTACGAGGACAAGCTGAGGTGGACAACAACATGTATACATGAAGCAGGTTTCGCTGCACTAAGATCTAAGATTTTAGATATCACATGGGCTTTCAAGGGTAATCTCGGACTACCAAAACAGACCTGTTAAATTAAAACGGAAAGCTTTGACATCTAAAATGGCCGGGATCCAAGATCTAAGACTCAAGATTTTCCAGGACTCTTGCCGAAACATCTTGGAATCCCAAATCTCGAAAACCGGCCGTTTCAATTGAATCGAAATGTTTTCAACTGAAACGGCCGGGATCCAAGATCCAAGATTTTGCAGGACACTTGCCGAGACAGCTTGGAATCCCAAATCTCGAAAGCCGGCCGTTTCAATTGAAACGGAAACGTTTCAATTGAAACAACCCGAACCTAAGATGGAGGATTCCAAGATGCCTTCGGCGACAGCCCTGAAGAATCTTGGATCTTGGATCTTGGATCCCGACCGTTTCAATTGAAACGCCGGCCGTTTCAATTCAAACGGCCAGAATACACGATGATCCCAGATGCATGATTTCGAGATGTCTCAATGACAGGCCTGGATTTAGACATAGTTGTGCTCATTGTGAAGCAGACGTAGTTGTTGCATTGTGTTGTGAAGCAGACAGAGTTGTTTCATTATGAGAAAAAGGCACCGAAACGGTAGATCTTTGGGCAGGGGGGGGGGGGGGGGGGGGGGTACTGTATATACATATATATATATATAATATATATATATATACATATATATATATAGATACATATATACATATATATCAAGTGTATATATAGTGTATATATAGTGTATATATACATATACATATATATAGTGTATATATATATAGAGTCTATTATATATATATAGTACATATAGTGTACATATATATATATATAGTATAAATAGTTTATCTATCTGGAGATGTCAGCCCACACTCTGTCGGAAGAATCCGAAACCTGCTTACGGCTTTGGTTTGGGGCTTTGAAGCTTGATAGTCCAACGCCTTGTCAACCTCCATTGAGAACGTACAAGTTTCCTATAAATCACAACCAAAGCCTTGGAACCTGAAACGGAAGCCCCCCGAAACCCCCAAGAGGAACATGAAAGCCTTCAAATTCAGACGATTTGGTTCATACAAGCCCGACAAAGGATGCAGGGACAAAGTGGTACAGCCCCATCCCTCAGATTTGATCCATGGGCAAACAAGTTCGTCCACCAGCGACGAGCTACAATGACTGGAACAACCTGGAAGCAGACCTTCTCCAGCACAATGCCTTGAATACCCTGAACCTTAATCCCTGAACGCTAAACCGGCGCTGTAGCGGAGGCCCAAAGAATGTCGTCCGCTCGCTGGCATTGCTGATGAATCAGCAGCATGAACTGCAAGTTGTCTTGGGAAATATAGGGGTCGGAATAATTACTGACAGCATTCTCTTACGGCCTCCTTCTATTTATACGATAATCACCTCCCAAAACCCTATTCTAAGCATTAGTGAAGGCCCCAGTAGTAGGCGTTTGCGGTTCTGTGGGTGCGGAGTCCAGGGATTACTTAGGGGCGTTCGGCCCTCCGATTCTGCAGATCTCCGGTACCGTGGTGGGTGGCACCTACTTGCCTCATCTAATCTTCGACATTCATAGGCCATAACCCCATGTCCGTAGAGTGGTTCACATCATCTTATGCCTGCTTGCAGCACTTGAGGGTATACAGCATGGTGTGAGCGAGCCAAGAGTTAGGGCCCGCGTTCCATGTTCGGAGGGAGGAGCCTTGTCTCAATGGCGTGAGGCAGGAAGTACAAGAGTACCTTCGGTTTTACTCCTACAAGCTCGGTAAGAGGCAAGAGATTCTTGAGCACTCATGGCCTATAGCTATGCCGGGGGAGCCCGCACGATGCGAGCCGTTCAGCACGAAGCCCCGTCTGCGCATGACATGGGTCCTACACGGTTGCTTGGGAAGCGGTTGGCTGCAGAAGCCCAAAGGATCCGGGGCTCTCTGAGGCTTAAGTTTTCGGTTGGTCCTTTAAACCCTAAACCCTAAACCCTAAACCCTAAACTAATACTCTGAGTGCGTGATCGACTGTCAGGTGGAATCTGGAGTATCCTGCCGGTGTTTGCTGCCGCGTGCCAGCACCGGTATTTGATGATTCGTTGAGTTGTGCTTTCAGATCACGAGTTTGTAGCCGTTGTTCACGCTTACAGGGAATCACCTTGACGGCGAAACTAAGAAAACATGAGCTGAGCTCTGGCAGTCCTGAAAAAACACAACAGGGTGGTAACTGGTCTCGCATTTGGGGGCTGGTAAAACTGCGCATCGGGGAGCATCCAGATTTGGGGACTCACACTTAGGAAACCACATCGAACCGTTGAAGGGTTGTTGTTGTCGATGTGTGGGGAGCGTCCACATTGGGGAATCGCACCATGGTGGCAAGTTGGCCCAAGGCACGCTTCAAAGATGATCTGGGGTGCGTGTGCCAAACCGCCGCCACAATTTTCAAACACATCAGCGTCTGCCCGCTGTCATGAGTTTCGAGCCCTCACGCGTTGACACTGACCCGCAGCGTCCACATTGGGGTTTCCTGTTTGCTGAGGCGTGTGTCTGACACTGCTGTGCAATTCTCTCCAGGAGCGTCCACGCAGATACATCCACTCCTAGTAAGCCCAGCAGTGAAGGCAGTGCATGATGCTTCAGTGATCTTGTCGTT